GTACGACCATTAATGGTTATTAAATGAATGCTTTTTTTTTGAGATGCTGTTTCTCTACTGTTTTCTAAACCTTATCTTGCTTGAGAAGCCTAAAGAAGTTGTATGTATATATTCTTTTTGAAAAAAAATTATATATATATATATATATAATTTTTCTCAAAAAGATCTCCAACATCTTGAAAGAACAGAAATGAAAAGAAAAGAACAGAAACCTCCGCTTTAAGTTCCTCTGCTTCGGATACGAAGTATGGGTACTTAATCGTTTCGACATGCTCAGTCACACTCTCTTGCATCTCTTGAAATATCATTGCATAAGAATTGAAATTACAGCTGCGGTCGATGCACGCTTACCCGGTAATTGTTCCTCATCTCTCGTTAGTTCCTCGTTTTCTTCGTCAGCTATAGATTCGCGCATGAATGACAATTGCTCCTCGTACCATTTGCTGAGGTTCGGCGTGTTCATCATTTCGGGAATTGAAAGAATGTCAAACTCGCCAGACTTTTTGCTTGTGGTGCGCTGACGATCCTGACTTGAATCGTGACTGCTTGTAGGTGAAAACTGTTCCACGACACCTTCTGTCACGGACTCTCCCGTTTCCTCGTCGTCTTCTACTGGGATCATTTTGAGATTTTCTTCAGGAGAGTATTCTATCGCAGCGGGGTGCTCTTCCAAAGTGACCTCCGTTTCAGTTTGCAGCGCAAGCTCGGCAACATGCTTGCTATTGTCGAGTTGCTCTTGGGTAGGTTGGCTGTATGCTACTGCCGATGCCAGTTTCGTCCCCATCGCTGGCTGAGTCTCTATGTTTGATACGGAGTCTCTTCGAATACCAGCACTCACATCGTCCAGTAGGTTTTTGACTGCTTCTGATTTGTGCAAAACGTTTTTGAATGTCTTTAACCCAAAACTTCCAAATGATGTCTCCTGGAGATATGATAGCGCAGGTTGCGCTCGAGGAATATTTTGTGAAGGTTCTTCGTGAAAGGATACTCTCCCCTCTGTTATCTCGCTAATGATTGGGGACCGTACATCTTGATCAGCTAGCTGGTTGACATAAGCAATATGTGCAAGCTCTTCTTGAGTGAGCTCATCGCCCGTTTTGATAGCACTGGGATGAGGGAAAGTAAGATGTTCATCTCCATCCTGAGCAGCTTCTAAAGCTACACGATTTATATGATCTAACTCCTCTTGGGTTAACCCGTAAGTGCTGGATATACTAGGTTCTGCAGCAAACGCTTCATCTTTCATGGCCAACTCTGTTATGCGCTTGATGTGATCAATTTCATCTTGGGTAAGTTCTCCCTGCTGTGCTACTACTGGATTCGAGATAATTTCATCTTCCTGAGCCATAGCTGTTTTTCGTTCGATATGATGCAAATCTTCTGTAAGCTCATCCTGACCTGCTACTGTAGATGACGTTTTCAAGAGAGTTTCCTCCTGCGCGGCCATCTCTGTGACTTGCTTGATGTGATCCAACTCCTCTTTTGTAAGGTCCATTGAATTATCAGGAAATTCTTGGAAATGGGAAGTTGAAATTGTAGTGATTGAGGCTGAATGAGGTCTTAACTTAGCACCGCTTTTGTTAGTAGTCAAATCTTCTAGAGCGTTTTTCGCTTCTTCTGCTTTCTGCATCGCATTTTTGAATGTCTTCGAACCAAATCCAGTGAATGCTTTTACTCCAAAAAAGGACGCCAGTGGTTTCGACTGCAACTGCGATCGAAACTCAGGAATCTGCTCCGAAGTGAATTTTCTAGGAGATGGCTGACCTTCGTTTGCAGCTAAATCTTCATTAGGAAGTGCGGAAGCTGACGGCGTTTGTTTGACGGATTTACTATAACTGTCCGTTGCGACTGCGATCGGTTTTTCATTCACTATGGAGCCCGTTTGTGAGCTGTAAGGTTTTGAGGGAGTAGGAACGAAATCGCCATTTTCGGCGGCCATCTGCGTGATTCTGGCGATGTGGTCAAGTTCCTCTTGCGTGAGTTCGGTCAAAGGTTCAATGGCGTTGGGTTGTTTCAACGTTTCCGCAGAACCATCGTGAATGTTTTCTTCTTGAAATGCGAGCTGATTAATGCGATTGATATGTTCCAGCTCCTCTTGAGTCAACTGATCATTCTGACCTGGTAAGATCAGGTGTTGAGTTGTGCTATTAAGAGCGTTATCTCCATGACTAGTGATGCTTATTAGTCGAGGAACAGAAGCGGACGTCGTCGATGGATTTTCAGCAGAACTGGGTACTGGAATTCGCG